GGAGATAACATAGATCCATGAAAAGGAAATCATGTTTGTTAAATCTACAGGAACTTTCAAGGATGTAACTCATATAGTACTTTCAAATGGGCTTTGATAAGGTCCTACATACACGATCAGCATGTAAAATTAAAGCACATACATGGAGGGTAGTGTACTGACGTGGATAGAAAACTGGTTGACAGACAGGAAACAAAGAGTAGGAACAAACAGGTCTTTTTCTGAAAGCGAGGCAGTGACTAGTGAGAATCAGTGCTGGGAGTCCAGCTATTCATGATACATATTAATGATTTAGATGAGGGAACTAAATGTAATAACTTCAAGTCTGCAGCTGACACAAAGCTGGGTGGGAAGGTGAGCTGTGAGGAGGATGCAGAGAATCTTCAGTGTGATTTGGAAAAGCTGAGTGAGTGGCAAATGCATGCCAGATGAAGTTATCCACTTTGAGAGCAAAAACAGGATGGTGTATGATTATCTGAATGGTGATAGATTGGGAAAGGTAGAGTTGCAATGAGGCCTGGGTGTCCTTGTACATTAATTGCTGAAGTTAAGCATGCAGGTGCAAGGGCAGTGAAGAGGAGTCAGAGTTATACAGCATGGAAACAGACCCTTCAGTCCAACTTCTCCAAGCCGAAATTGATTGAATCCCATTTGCCAGCATTTGGCCCAATCCCTCTAAACCTTACCTATTCATATACCCATCCAGATGCTTTTTAAATGTTGTACTTGTACCAGCCTCCACCACTTCCTCTGGCAGCTCTTCCCATACACGCACCACCCTCTGCATGAAAAAGTTGCCCCTCAGGTCCCTTTTAAAATCTTTCCCCTCTCACCTTAAACTTATACTCTCTACTTTAGGACTCTTGCACCGTCTTTACCCAGAGAGTAGTGAGCCTGTGGAATTCTCTGTCACAGAAGTGGATGAGGCCAAAACATTGAATGTTTTCAAGAAGGATTAGATATAGTTCTTAGTACTAAAGGAATCAAAGGGTATTGGGCGAAAGCTGGAACAGGATACAGAGTTGGATGGTCAGCCATGATCATATTGAATGACAGAGGTGGCTCAAAGGGCTGAATGGCCTACTGATGCTCCTATTTTCTCTGTCTCAGAAGCAAATAAGTTGAGGACACCTGATGTAAGTGAATGAGGAAGCAAAACTGATGGGCTGAATACGCTTTTCTTTATTTAACGTTAACATGTTGCTTACTACTTAATGCTCCCAAAAGTATTACTGTTAGGGAGTGTCAATAATATCTTGGCCAAATGAATGATTTGTTTCATGTTGGTTGACAGTGGAGGACTGTGGGATGTAATGTGTGAGATAGTTTTATTTCTTATGATCTTTTTATTAAAAATAACCACGTATTAATCCACCTGAACAAGGAGACAAGTCTCGGTATGACATCCCAATCAATGAACTTAACTTCTGACAATGCAGTTCTGAGTACTTTGTGGCAGACATTCTAGAATGGGGACAGAACGCACAACCTACCTGCACAGAGGCATCACTGTAACTATGAAGATGCCTGCATCACAGATGTCAGTCTTTAACCGATTCAATTCTCAACATGGGATGTCAAGAAATAGGATACTGCAATGGCTATGGACCCTGACAATATTCCAACAAATAATAGGGAAAATTTAGAACTTGCTTCAGAACTTGCCATATATCTAGCCAAGCTATTCCAGTAATGTTATAACACTAACCATCTATTTAAAAATGTGGTAAAATTACAAATATACCCTCTCTACATAATGCAGAAAAATATAACCCAGCCAATTACCGATATTCCAATCTGGATCATCACAAAGTAATGGAAGGAGTCGATGACAGGCAGCACTTGCATTGAATATTTGCTCACTGACACGTAGTTTGGGTTCTGTCAGGGTCACTTAGCGCCTGACCTCATTACAGCCTTGGTTCTAACATGGACAGGAAAGCTGAACCCTGGAGGTGAGGTGTAAGTGACTGCAGCATCACATTCCCAGCAATATTGTAATCAATGAGTATCAGGGGGCAAACTGTCTGCTGGTTGGAGTCATACCTGGCACATAGGAAAATGGTCGCAGTTGTCGGAGGTCAGTTATCTCTGCTCCAGGATCTCTCTCCAGGAGTTCCTCAGGTAGTGTCCTAGGCTCAACCATCTTCAGCTGCTTCACCAAAGACCTTCCCTCCAGTAATAAGGTCAGAAGTGGGAATTTTCACAATGATTGCACAATGTTCAGTTACTCCTCAGATACTGAAGCAGTCCATATCTATAGTCAACAATAAGCTGGACAACATCCTGCATTGGGCTTACAAGTGGAAAGTAACATTTGTGCCTCACAGGTGAATGATTGATTGATTGATTGATTTATTGTCACATGTACTGAGATACAGTGAAAACTGTTGCTTTGTGTGCTGTACAGGCAGATCACACGATACGCAGTGATAACAATGTGTACCATCTACAAAATGTACTTCAGTAGCTCATCAAGACAGCATATTCAAAACCCACAACCTCGTCACCTTCTAGAAGATGAAGAGCAGCAGATACACGGGAACATTGCTAGCTGAAAATTGCTCTCCAACGCACATGCCATCTGAACTACACTGCTGTTCCTTCACCACAACTGGGTTAAAATCTTGGAAGTTCCTTTGTAACAGCACTCTGTGGGTGCGCCAACACCTCAAAGTAAGCAGTGCTTCGAGAAGGTATCTTGCCATCACCTTCTCCGGGGCAAATTAAGAACGAACAATAAATGTTCACCTAACCAGCAATACCCACATCCCATCAATGAATGAAATGAAAGAACATGTCAGGAAGGAGACGTACCTAACCTGCAACCTGTGCTGAATTTGGCATTAGTTCAGCAGGGTTTTTTTTCAAAACAAGTAGTGTCAAAGGTGTGTCCAATGTTCCTTCTGGAAGAAGCAGAAATTGGCCAGTACCAGTGGCCACAATTGTACTGAATTGCAAAGCAGACCTTAAAGGTCATATGGTCTACACCTTCTCCTATGTTCTGATGAGCATCAGGAACCACAACAGAACAACTAAGGGTTCAGTTGGTTGTAATATGGCATTTATATTGGACAACCTCCTTTACCAGATTATGGCCAGGAAAGACTGCAGACAACTAGGAAACCACTTACAAAAACTAGTCACTACTCAAAATCCCTACGATGTAGATAGAGGCTATTTGCCCCATCCAGTCTGCTCCAACCTTCCAAAAAGCATCCCTCCGAATCCCAGTAAACCCATGTTTACCATAATCAATCCACCTAACCTATACATCTTTGGACTGTGGAAGGAAACTGGAGGACCCGGAGGAAATTCACGCAGACGTGGGGAGAATGTGAAAACTCCACACAGATCATCACCTAAGGCTGGAATCGAACCTGGGTGCCCGGAACTATGTGGCAGCAGTGCTAACTACTGTTAGCAAGTTAGGTCTGAAAAGCTTCTTATTGGGCACAGATGTACGGCTGTTATCACAGCTTTTCATCTGAGGATGTTGACAGAAACGAACACCAGAAGTTGCAGGTAATTCAAGTGTTTGTGGAGTGAAGCATGCTTTATGTCGGAGAAAGTAGTGTTTTTTATAATTGCATCTGAAGACAAAAATATGAAGAAATGTACCTTGTCTCATTTACAGACTTTATAACAATGCAGGAATGTGCGCACTGGAGGGAAAAGAGCAAGTAACTGGCTTCTAGCAATGCAATTATATTTTAAAATTCAGGTGAGTCATCCTAATAAAAAAAAAATCAGGTGGTCATCCTAATAAGAAACTGTACAATAATAATTAATTTCTTTTGGCAAAAATCACTAAAAAATAAGAGTTTTCTGACTGCATACGCAACAACTGTACAGTTGTATAATGCTAAGACAAAGCTTGAAACTTTCTCCCTAGTTATGTTTTTGTAATTGCAATAATAATTGTAATGCTCATTCCCATTTTATTTAAAACAAATACTGCAAATGTGCTAATTTAAAATTCATTCACAGCATGAGGGCATCATTGGATAGGTCAGCATTTATTGTCTGTCCCTAATTGCCCAGAGGGCAGTCAACAGCCAATAACATTGTTTAGATCTGGAGAAACATGTAGACCAGACCCAGGTACAGACAGCAGTGCCCTTTCCTAAAGCACATTAGTGAACCAGAAGGGTTTTTCCAACAACCAACAATGGTTTCATCATTAGACTCTTAATTCTAGATGTTTATTGAAATTCAAATTCCACCATCTACCATGGCAAGATTTGAACCTATGTCCCCAGAACAATACCTAGGTTTCTGAATTAACAGTTCAGTAGTAATACCACTAGGCTGTCAGCTTCCCTAAGTAGTTGGGGGTTAGGAACAAATTTTCTTTGCATCAGTTCTACTGTAATAACTTTAATCTTGGTCTAAGATATTTAACAGATTTTGTTTTTACAAAGAAAGATAGCAGACAATTCATACTTCTTCAATCTCAATAGCATCAGAGGGAAAAGGTTTCGGGAGTGAAATTGTCTGTGTTTTGACAAAAACCAAACAAGGATTATGTATCAACCAATTCACTAGATACGGCAATGATTACGGATGGCTGGTCAGAAATGACAGAAATATTGCACTGGTGAAGCAGGTGCTAGAGTCAAGCTACATGTTTGGAGCAGGATATCTGTGCGTAGCCTGAGTGCAAAACAAAATTGGTAGCCACAATAGCAAGTGTTTTATTCTACAGCATTCCTCAAAGATTCTCAAAAACAAATACAGAACATGAATTGATCCTGACAGTTTATGTGAGAGATCATAAACAGAGGAGGAAAAGGCAAAGAAGTAAAACAAAGGCAATTCTAGCAGAAGCTTGTAAATAACTTAGAACAATGAGAAAGGGGAATAGGTTATTTTTGCATTTTGTGAAAGCAAGTCTTTGTTTTGCCTCAATTTTTTTAACGTTAAAAATGAATTAATTCTCTAGCAGTAACTGATTACAAACCATCCATCTAAAATAAGTAAGGTGACAAGCGAAACACTCACAAATATAATTTATTTTAATTGACAGAACAAAAGAAATATGCACATTGTAAGGGCTAAAAAGTGGTTTAATTTACATGAAGCGTTACAAAACATTCTCAATACAGGAGACATTTTAAGTAGCAGATTAGTACAAAGTTGAAGTTCATCACAACAGTTTATTATAAACTGGGTGGTGTCATTTGCTGAAATAGTGAGGTACTTGTTCACATGATCTCTGGCGTAAACCTGAGTGATTTTCTTTACCTTGTAACTAGCGTTCACTTAAGGTGATGTTTTTCCATTTGTCATACTATAGGTAACAAAATTATATCAAGAAAATTGAGTTAATGCAGACCTCAATATTATCACATTTGTTGATCTGAATTTCCTACATAATAGAAAATACTGAGAAACCATGTGACTGCAATGCTCACTCTGTTGATTACTGAGTTGGTAGCAGGGACATTGCCTCATTTCCTACAGTAATACTGATTCATTCATGTTGTGTCATTCTCAGAACACCTTAGTTGTTAATAAATTATTTTTCATATCAATTAGAAAGGTGGTTGATTGGATGTGAATAATTTTGTTGTGATAGTCTGTTTTCATACTCTTGTGCGAGCTCCAATTAGCCACATAGCCCACCACAGCCACAATCAGTTACAACAAAACTGTTCACGTAAACTAGCTCCTTCCAGTTTTCTGCCAAGTCTTTATTTTGTCGAATCTGTGAGACACAAAATCTGAGGAATGCTGCTGTGATTTTTCTTTAAAGGCTGAATGCAGGAACATTTCAATATTGTTCTCAAAAAGTACAGTTCTCCTGCAATGGTAACCAGATTTTAAAAAAATACAAATGAGGCAGCAAACTGAAAGGTTACATACAAATTAACCTGGTACTGTAAGGAAATACAGAGAAGTACAGTGATCAGATATTAAAGAGGTGACTCCGAGTGCCTGTTAGCATTCACCTAGAGGCATTGCACTAATGCTTCTGCACTAATATCAAAACTTTAACAGGATCTTTTCTCAAAATTAGAAATGTACAATGGTTGTGTACAGCTAAGTGATCCAGTATTTTTAAGAAATCATTGATATTAATTTCTGTTCTTATGCTGATGAAGTAATTGCATCAGCAGAGCTGGCACACATCATGGGCAATGTGCAAAGTGGTTGAACCAGAAGTTGCTGAACTGCTAGAAGTATAGTGTACATTCTATTTCTACTAATTCAATGGTGAATCCTGGTGAGACTTGATTCAAGAGGTATCTGGCAAAGCATCCATGCCACTCCGCTTAATATACTGTTGTAAACGACAACTGAAATGACAATTGGGCATCATTGAGATCTTAAAATGCTCAGTGTGCCCTATATGACAACTCAAATTTGGTTCCCAATTTCATCTGGAAAATTAAGTCTTTATGCTATCACAATACAAGACTAAAGTACAAACAAACCTAAAACACAATCCAACAGTTAGTTAGCACCAGCAACTTGCATTAAATCACAAGATTTTAAACAAAATTGTTAACAAACTCCAACTTACCTCTGCAGAAGTCAAAAGAAAAGCTCTCTAATATGCAGATGAGTATCAGATCTGTGCACTAACTTTAAGCACTAGTCATAACATCAACATGTAAAAATATTGCTGTAACTATTCACTTATTCCAAATGTTGGGGCATCATCAGTAGGCTGGTAGAATAGTTCACAGTACCGTAATGCTAACTGTCTCTTTGTCAGTGTCAGAATGAGAGCGTGCAGGTAAATGAAGTGCCTTTAGACTAGCATAGCCAAAACGCTGGAAGGAGAGATAAGACAGTTTACAGGTACAATACCCACATAAGTCTGCAAGTATTTGAGCATTTTGATAACTATGAAACATTTTTAACTTTGATTAAAGGATGGTGACTTCATGTTTAATGTCAACTATATTGTGAATTGTCTGAATTTCCAAGTGATACAAATTAAAATATATTGAAAGCTTGCTAAAGCTCTTGAATTCCCTTTGAACCTATTAATATATTTAATCCTACCCCCAAAAAAATGTAGAAAGCAATAGTTAAACTTAGCAGAAACAGATCCCTGCATTGTCTGTTAGCCCTGTTCTGTATTGTTTTTTAAATATGCATCACATCAACATGAAACCATGCTTTATGTACCTACACAAACATTGCATAAATTTATAACTGTTTTACAACCGAACAAGTGCAATAAACCATCAAGGTGTAGGGATAGTGAACCAGTTAATGCAACAGTCATCTTGATTGGAATGTGAAACTGCATTCTTCCACAACAATTATGACTCCAGTTAATTACCAATTATCTTGGTAAGCTTTCTTGCAAAGAGAGATGTGTACTCAGGTGCTTCAAGAATGGACTCTTGCTGACTGTTGGACGGACAGTCAGTTTCCTGATGTGCTCTAAGTTCTCTCTTTCTGTCAATGATCAGACAGAATAGTTTTGCCTGCCAGGCTTATGGTGGGACTCGGCTGGTATGTTCACTCAAATTAAATTATATGGTTTATATTACAAGAGATTTGGGTTTATATAGTAATTATCCATTTGGAGCTTTCCTATTTCTGCCGGGCAAAATGATACTGTTGACATATGTCACCTAGTGTCAGCTATAAAGCGCCTGTCTTTTTGTCTGGAATATGTTATACAGAACTTACAGCACATAAGCAGGCTAATTTAGCCGTTATGGTTAATGCTGGAACTTTGTACTCTTCATGAGCCACCTTAAGTATCTACAGTATTTCCATCCTGTCCCATGATCAAAACAGAGATATAGATAGAGGATGCAAAATGAAAACTCCAAAATATACTCCACATGGAGTACACTGATGAGGTATCTGCAAATGATGTCCTACAAATAATATGTTCCTATACCTGAATACACTGTGTCAACAGTCCCACACTGTATGTTAATTAGTCAACACTTAAGCACCAAGACCCAAAGTGGTAACATATATCAATCATTTTTTTCAAGCTTTGTCAAAAACAAATCAAACACACAAAAAACCAGTTGGTTCTTAGGTACGCTGCAACACCAGGCTAATATTAACAGGACTGGTTTGTCTATAGGTACTGCATTTATACATCACATACAAACTTTGAATATCTGATTTAAAGCTGAGTAGAAATATAATGATTATTATATTTCCTTTTTTGAATGCTAAGACTTTTGGAATCAGACAGCTAGATTCGCCCAACTGGAATGAAAGAATCAGATACTACAGGAGACAGCCATTTTGATTATCAATAATCTGTAAGAAAATCTGTATAGTGAACAGTTCATATATAGCTTCCATACTCAACTGTTGTAAAGAATCAATAATGTTACTACATCTGCTGTAATAGAAATGGATTGAAAAGAATGATGAGGTGACTAATGGGTGAGAAACCTACATGTAACTGACCACGTTGCAAAGATGTAAAGAATAAAATTCAAACAATTTTTTAAAAAATCATTGCAATTTGATTCCATTCGCAGTCTACACCACTGCAGTTAATATTGTGACTAATTACAAAGAAATATCTCATTGTATCAGTGTGCTAGTAAATGTACCTAATAATTCAGATTAAATTGGTAGCCAATTTACAGCAAAGCTTATGTAATTTAACTTGCTCTGTGTTACTATGACAAGGAATCAGGTCATAGATGCAAAGCTTAATAGAAAATAAAATTATATATAATTCTGTGCCCCCCCTCTTTTCTAAAAAAAAGACTACTTACAATATCATCTTTGAAGGCTCCATTGCCCAATAAACAAGTGTTGATTCAGGTATGAAAGAAAGGCTGGATAAATAATGCATTTCTGATACCACACAGAAGCTGAAACCCACACAAACAGCGACATTATGCTACTCGTATCAAAAACAATGCAATAGGTAAACATATAACTAGAATGAGCAAACAGTTCAATTCAGCCTTCCTTGAATGTCACATTGTATACTGGTACTTTCACTTCAAAATTTGTCGCTGAAAATATTGCAGAATTAGAAGTATCCCATCCCCAAATAATTAAGACAGATTTAAACTGTTTACTCATCCATAATCATTGATAGCACATAATCCAAATTCAATACCTACCTTCACAGCATTAAGGACTGTAGCTTTAGGCTGCTTCACCAAACAATTCCATAGCTGTTTTATCTTCATTATGCTTTGGCTTTCTTACTTAAAATGCTTTGAAGTGATATATTTTACAAAGGTCAAGAGTCAAATAGGTAATGTTAGAAAAATCTCACCCAAACTGGCACCAATTTGTACAAATGCACAATTTATGGCATCATGACACAATAGTCAGAATTAACCACTGACTAGTTAGCTTAGATTATGTAACAGGATCAATAATTGAACTGAAGTCAAAGGTAGACCAGAATTTGTTAAAGGCACTCATTTCTTTTACCCATATTGTTCCACAGGTGCAACATCACTCAAAGCCAACTCAAGGGTTAACTAAATATACACGTCCACCTGTAATTTTCCATGCAATTAAGCTATTTTGAACGTTAAAACAAAGGATGTAAGTCAATGTAATAACATAAACCACAAATGTGCACCAAGGTAGGCCATTCAACCCCCTCGATGCACAAGTAACAAGTAACAAGGTGCTACGTTTTAACACATTCAAATTCTCTAAATCTTTCAGTTTAGGGTTGGCTCAAGCCTTTCTCCATTCAGAACACACCAAGTGGACAAAGCTCAAGTGCCATATTTAATCAACGTTCAGAAAGTGAACTAGACATTTCCAACATGGCACCATTGGCCTCTGTTCTAAGCTCCATATGACACACGGTCATAAATTTTTAATGGTCAACACAGAAAATAACAAGCATAGCAATTAGCATAAAGAATCATGATCTTAAACGCTCGCAACAAATCACATCAAGATTCCACATTATGTATCTGAAGGAAAGATATCTCGAAGAGGATTTATATCTGTTTCAGTTCAGGTAATGTTGTGTTTACAGAACTGAACTAACAATAGGATGTACATGAAGAGGTTCAAATCATTCCCTGCAAATTGTGAAATGGAATGCAACCAATATGATAACTTATGGGGAAGGGTTCACACCATCATTTCATGGTCTCTTCTAAAAAATATTTGTATTTGCTTCAATATTCACCAAGATGACTGAACAAGCCACTGAGTTGGTTTGAATAGTAGCTGAGCTCATAACTACTATTTCCAGAAAATATTTATCCGTGGAAAAGCCTTTTAGTTTAACTTTGCGTTGATACAATTAACAATGTATTCATCTCAGAGCGGAAGTGGGAAAAAAAGAAATGTAAATACATCTGAAACTGAAATACAAGGAATCATAAGACGTTAAGCCTGCAAGGTGAAATACTGGAGCAGATGGAAGAGTTGGGCAACCAGCTCATTATATCTGAGACTCTTGATTCTTGGTTATTAAAAAATTCAACCTTTAGTAAATCTATCAAACCTCATCAAAACTCACTGGCTTTTCACAAGTAGTTTCACAAAAAGATTTTTTCACAGAAGTTCCAGACTGAATGAATGTAGACTGTTTATGAAAATTCCCCAGGTGATAAATGGACTAGGAGTAAAATCAAAACATGCAAAGAGGAAAGGTCATTTATTCTATTAGTGTTTTCCCTCTCTGATTAACATTTTTGTAAAGCTTCCCAGCAGTCAGCTGAAGTTTTATTTTAAACTATAAAGCCAGGTGGTAGACTGAGGAAATTCATAACGAAAGGCTAACTGTGGGCATTAAAATGTAAAGGCACTATTTATTATCCTACTTTGCATGATTGAAACAGAAATAGGCAGATTGTGAACTCAGTGCTGAATTCCAGATCAATCAACTCTCTCAAGGGCGAGTCTCTAAACATGAATTTTTACCAAATAAGGAGTGCATGAAAGAGAAACTATGAGAAAGGTTAAAAATGGGAAGGGAAAGATAATGTTACAGAACAGGTTTGTAATAACTTGGTTTGTATTAATTTCAGGACAAGAAAATTGATCAAATGCAAGTAACAGTTAAGAAATTGTTTAAGAGTGTTACACCATCACAAGATATTAGCACCACAGCAGATAATGAAAAGTGCACTAAAACTGGCAGCACAACAGTTTTAATTCTACAATGAAAAAAAATCAGTCACAGCCAGCACTAGCCCTGAATGATCATAAAGAGGCATTGAATTTTGTAGAGCAAGTTTCTTGAGCTGTCCTGATTATGTAGGAGGGTAACAAAAGAATATTTTTACTTCAAATCATATAATCAAATCTTGATATCCCTCTCAATTTTGACATACTGAAAATTAAACTGGGATACAACTTTGAAATACATTTCATTTAATCCATCATAAAAAAAAATCATAGAATTCCAATTCTGCAAAGATCCTTTTTACCTAATCTAAAAACATATCTTATCATTGCCAAAAATAGTATTATGCGAGTCACTGTACAGCACATTGCAATTGTTGGGCATTTCATACCAACAGTTTTGCAGTTAGTAAAACACATTAAAATATTTACAAAGACACTGTACAAGCATAATGCTGCGTTGGTATTAATGCATAACTCTGTTTAATGCTGTTCCGCTTTTTAAAAGGTGGACTGTCTACTTTCGAAATCTGTATACATAGTGTAAGAGAATCAGACACCAGTACCATAAACTGAAAGATATAATTAAAATAAATACGCAATCCTTCAGAAACTGCCCTGAACAAAGTGAGAAAAGTATCAATCCTCAATAATCTAACCATAAATTCTCTTCCACACTAGCAGACCATAATTTTCCCTACTTCAAATTGGACTTTTTATAGTTTGGGCTATGAATAGTGTTCGCGACAAGAATTGGTCCAATGTTTTTAAAATAAAGATGAAATTGAACACAGTCCTTGGAATCATTCAAAATGATTTTGATGATTTTAACTATGATTTGTGATACAAACATATATCACCTCTCCTGAGAATATCCTTTTAATACACCTGAAATTCGAGAACATTCCAATGGAGGGCTCATGCTTACTGCTGACAATAAAAGCAAAACAAATCTTACAAAACATTATTACACTAAACAGAAATGCAACTAAAAATTCCACAGAAAGACCTTGTTAGGAAAGTGTTTTAAATAATCTGAACAGGAAAGTTGACATTTCTACAGCAATAGTTATAGCTCATTGAAGGTACAAAGTTTAAACATCAAAGGGAACTTGCCTGATTCAGGCAATGCTACAATCCAATGATGATAAACATTTGCACAGGGGCCTGGTCAAATTCTAATAAAGGTGGGAGTGTACATGACTAGGCAGAGTTAATGCCCAATGCTACAAAATCTCCGTTTTCAAAACCAGCAGACAGTCCATGTGAGTACTGCATTATACTGCTATGATGCTTAATTCCAACGAAGTGGAACCTGATGTCAGTGCATGGTCCACATGTCCTGACCATCAGTGCTCAGGCTGACATATTGAAATCAGAACTGAATCCTCATGAAGTTCACTTTGGTTTGCAATTGATAGTGTAAAAACATTTTTTTTTCTTAAATCTACAATTTAACATGTTAAAATTCCACTATGTGATGTATTGACAGTCAAAAGAAATCACTTTACTCACTATTTTATGAAGTCATTAACTCATGGGTTAATGATTCTGCCAATACAGTGAACAGAGCAGTTTCACAGACAATTTTTTTAAAATTCAGAATTTCAATTTCGAATTGCTGAGCTGAACCAATATGAACTGTCTGAAAGGCTCTTTAAATAAGAAAGCCAAAGCGACCCACAGCTTAATAAACTGCATCATTAAAACAATTTAAAATCACAAGTAGGTTCACAGAATTGCTAAAGCAATACTCAAAATGTAAACGATAAAAGATTTCTTGTGCCCGCAACAAAGCCTTCTAACACATCAAATTCATGTCACTGTGTTTTTTTTCTTTATAAACCAGGTATAAAAAGTGTCTTGGTGCAATTTCATTTGATCCTTTTTGTAATATATTATGACTGTAAACCTACTTCAACTTCAGCAATTCCAACACTATGTAGTAGAGAGCACAGAAGCAGGCTTTTGTTGGGTCAGTTCCAGTTGAGCAATACCTCTGATCTGGTGTGTGTTTGCTGGTGTTTGCCACATGCTAGATCCAGTGATGCACTGGCTGAGTGCTGGATGATAGTCTCTGCAAAATTTGCACCTTATGAAGTTCAGCTGACGATAAAACTTTATGTCATAGCAGGTCCATTTTTGGCCTGTAATGTAGCAGGAGGGGCGATTTCTTCAAAAAAAACAGAGAGGAACATACAGCATTATAAATACAGCATAGGTCACCAGTTAGAAAAACATATTAAATAAATTCAGAAAGATTTTTCACTAATTATTGCCAACATTTTCTAGTCCAAACTTTTACGTCAGTGAGCCAGACCCAAGTATTAAACTAAAAATGAGCCACCACTTCAGTCAGATGGAATTATGATCAGACACCATTCCCAACTCTCAAGCCACTTCACATATCTTTCAAGTCTTTGAATCATAGCCACTGACACCTGAAAGTGTCAGCCACCTCTACTAATACTAATAACTTGCTATGCTTCAGTTACGTAGGGAACAGGTGAGACAGTAGTATAGCTCCCAATCAGGATGGAGGGGAATTTGCAGGTGGTCATGCTCCCGAAGTATCTGCTACTCATCTTCCTAGGTTGTAAAGGTCACAGGTTTGGAAGGTGCAATTGAAAGAACTTTGGTGAGTTTCTACAGTGCATCTTGTAGAGGTACACACTGCTGGTAGTGTGCTTTCGTGGTAGAAGAACTGAGCGTTTGTGGATATGTTGCCATTTAAGTGCTTTGTCCTGGATGGTGACAAGATTCTTCAGTGTTGTTCAGGCTGCACTCACCAAAGCAAGCAGAGGGTTCTGACCTGTCCTTGTAGCAACTGTATTTATATAGCTAGCTCAGTACAGTTTCTGATCAGTGGTAGCCTCCAGAATGTTGAAAGTAGGGGACTTAGGTGATGATAATGCAAATGAATGTCAAGGGGCATTGATACATACTCTCTTGTTGAAAATGGTCATTGCCTGGCATTTGTGTTGTGCGAACATCACTTACCACTTTTAAGCCCAAACCTGAATATTGTCAAAATCTCGTTGCATTTGGACACAGAAAACTTCAGTATCTGAGGAGTCACAAACATGGCTGAATATTGTGTAATCATTCAAGGTTTCGGCAAAGATCTGTAGCTCGGGTTGGGGATGAGGTTGTTGCCTTGCTCACCAAGCTGGCTTGTTCTCGTTCAGACGTTTCATCACCATGTTAGGTGACATCATCAGTGGACCCTCTGATGAAGCGATGTTATTCTACTCTGCTTGGAATTTATACTATTTGGTCCGTTATGGTGAGTAGTATCATTTCCGTTTTGATCTGTATGGGTTTGTATATGGGGTCCAATTCTATGTGTTTTTTGATTGCATTGCAGGTGGAGAACCATGCCTCTAGGAATTCCCGTGCATGTCTATGTTTGGCTTGGGCTACTATGGTTACCTTGTCCCAGTTGAACTGATGGCCTTTATTGTCTGAGTGTACTGATATTAAGGAGAGTTTGTCATGTCGTTTTGCTGCTAGCTGATGTTCATGTATTCTGATGGCTAGTTTCCTTCCTGTCTGTCCAATGTAATGCTTGTGGGAGTCATTGCATGGTATTTTGTAAACCACGTTGGTTCTGCATGTTGTGGGGATGGGGTCTTTAATCCTTGTAAGTGTTTGTCATAGAGTGGCTGTGGGCTTGTGGGCCACCATGATTCCTAGTGGTCTTAGGAGTCTTGTTGTCAGTTCCAATATGTTCTTGATGTATGGCAGTGTAGCCAGTGTGTTAGGGTGTACTGTATCCTCCAGTTGTTGACTGTTTAGTAGGCATCTGTGGATGAAGTTGTGGGGATATCCATTTATAGCGAGGATTTTGCATAGGTGCTCTTCCTCTTTCCTGCGTCAGTCGCAGGTGTTGCAGGGTGTCCTGGCCCATTTAAGTAGTGTCCTATTGCAGCTTTGTTTGTGGGCATTGGGGTAGTTGCTGTGGAACACTTGTAATCATCACCAAAATCCCCAGCTGTGACCTTCTAATGGAGAGAAGGGCATTGATGAAGTAGCTGAAGATGGTTGAGCCAAAGACCTGAGAGACTCCTGCAAAGTTGCTCTGGAATCAAGATGGCTGACCGACTCCCACAAACTCCTTCCTTTATGCCAGATATGACTCGAACCACTAAAGAGTTTTCTCCGATTCTCCAGCTTTGCCAGGAATCCTGGATGCCATTCTCTGTCAAATGCAGCCTTGATGTCAAAGGCAGTCACTCTCATCTCACCTCCAGAGTTTAGCTCCTTTGTTCATGTTTGAACTAAGGTGTAATAAGATCAGGAGCTAATTTGCCTTGGCAGAACCCAAACTGAGCGTTAGTGATGAAGTTATTGCTAAACAGGTGCTGCTTGATAGCACTGCTAATGATCCCATCCGTCACTTTGCTGATGGACAAGAGTAGACCGATAGGACAGTATTTGACTGGGTTGGATTTGTCCTGGTTTGTGTGCATAGGACGTACCTGGAAAATTCTTCACCTTGTCAAGATTGATGTCAGTGGTATAATAAGGTATATGTCAGTCCATGAGATTATAAATTGTGCTCGGGTACAATTCTGCAACTGCAGACGTCCCATTGTACATCATGGAGAAATGGTGTTGAATTGCAAGATCTGTTTATAATCTATCCTATTTAGCAAAGTGAAAGTGCCACACAATGCGATAGAAGGGTCTCCTCAATGTGAAGAGAGGATGTCATCTCCAGAAGGACTGTGGGTGGTCCCTCCTACAATACGGTCATGGACAGATACGTGTGGCTGACAGATTAGCAGGGAATAGGCCAGATATGCTTTCTGCCTCTTTTTGGCTCCCTCACCACCTAGATAGGATTAATATGCCAATTCCAGAATTTCTTTCAAGTCAGAACTAAAGGTTTTATTGGTATACCAGAGGATATCTTAGGGCAGACAATGCATTTTAGGTGTGAGGCCATTTTTAAGAATCTGGTTGTCTATCAACTTGGAGACATACTGGTTTTATTTCCAAAGTCGGGATTTATAAATCTCGGGGCAGTGACTTGAAAGAAATTCTGGAATGTACATATTAATCCTTTCTAACTGATCAAAAATTTATAAGTCATCTTAAGTTTGTTCAACATATTTGCATCAGTTCTATGACTCTTTGATTTTTTGTTTATAAATTCTGTGTCTGATACCACTTCTCTCACCGACACCTGAAGAAGGAGCAAGATTCCGAAAATTTGTGTTATCAAATAAACCTGTTGGACTATAACAACAGGAACAAAAACAAAGTTGCTGGAAAAGCTCAGCAGGTCTGGCAACATCTATGACGGAAAAAACAGAGTTAACGTTTCGGGTCCGGTGACCCTTCCTCAGAACTGTTGGACTATAACCTGGTGTCGTGAGAGTTTTGACCTCATCCATCCCAGTCCAACATCGGCATCTCCACATCAAGGTGGAGTCAGATATAGTTCTTAGGGCTAAAAGGATCAGGGGGTATGGGCATAAAGTGAGAACAAAGTATTGAATGGTCAGCCATGATCAGACTGAATGGTGGAGCAGGCTTATAGGGCAGACTGGCCCCCCCTGCTTCTATCGTCTATGTTGCTATAGCACTATCTCGGTCTCTGGAATACCACCAAACCACTGTCTCCCCTAACTGATCCTAACCCTATACTCATTCTCCAATCCACATGTATATTTCCATCCGGCACACAAGATAGTAACATTAGTCAATTTCTCATCGCCTAAATTCTAAACAACCCTTCAGTTCCTGTATTTACCCATCTATTGCTAAAACTAAGGTTATTAATGAGAACAAAACAGGAATTATCCTGAGACTTTTATGAATTGCATGATTCTGCAACTCATTGTTTTAATTTGTTTTCAATCAACATGTTCAGAAATGTTATGACACACCTCTGGGACTTGAACCCAAATCTTCTGGCTTAGAGGTAGGCACTACCACAGTGCCATGAGAGTCCTACTCATTATTTTAATTGGTTGAGTCATGATGGAATACATCTGTTATGTGAAAGTTACCTCTAGCTAAAGATTCAAATGACCATATAACACAAGATAATGCAATGTGTGAATATGTAAAATATAATCAAATATTACATTCATCAGCACCAATGCAAGTCCCTTAAGTTATGCAATGATACAATTCATGGCAATTTAGTTATTTTGGAGGGGAAGGGTCAATGAATTTGCAAGAAAAAAACTGCCACAAAATCTTTAAAATGCACAACTCATTGATTGGGCAGCACGGTGGCTCAGTGGTTAGCACTGCTGCCTCACAGTGCCAAGGATCTGGGTTTGATTCCAACCTTGGGTGACTGTGTCTTGGGTGACTATCACGTTCTCCCTGGGTTTGTGTGGGTTTCCGCCAGGGGCTCCGGTTTCCTCCCACAGTCCAAAGATGTGTAGGTTAGATGGATTGGCCATGCTAAATTACCCATAGTGTTCAGGGATGTGCAGGTTAGGTGCATTAGCTACGGGAAATGCAGGGATAGGGTAGGGGGATGGGTCTGGGTGGGATGTTCTTCAGAAGGTCTGTGTGGACTTGTTGGGTCGAATGGTCTGTTTCCACACTGTGGGGATTCTATGATTTCATGTAATAAAAGATAACATCATGGTTGTTTACCTTGAATCTCCATCGAGTGACAACAACAAACTTCAAAGTGTGATCCTTTCCAAGTATTTCTTCATTGCATAGAATATCCAGCTACAGAATAACAAAGAAAGCCAAGAGTCATAGCTGGATGACAAATTGTGCTACAACAGCTTTTGCTAATCTTGGTATCATTCAGCCTAATTTAATTCACTTTATCAATGTGAAATGTGTTTGAGCAGTCTCAACACTGTTCCCAATCCATATGGTCATGAATAATTCATCTATAGATCTCATTAAACTATAAATTTACTCAAACGTCACTAGCGTAGTTCACTTGTGTGCACAGTGGAAATGCCCAGTGTACTGCAGGTATCTTCAAGTGGTTACAGTGCACATGTTGTGCCTTTACCCATTTATTTATTTTAACCTATGGTAAAACACCACGGGTGAGATTGCTGATACGGACAACTTTGGCAACAAAATGGAAAATAAATTGAATTATAATCAAACTCAGCCCTTATGTTAATGTACACTACAAACCCTGCACCTCAAAGAAACGATGATATTGAGTAGTTCGATGAAAGTAGTGTCCTGAGTAAAACTACACAAGCAAAACTGAAAGAAGTCAGTGATGTAAAAAGTTACTGTACAGCAAAAAGGTACCCATTTCAAAAGGGTTTTTCACAAATTAAATAGAGTGATACAGCACAGAAACAGGCCCTTCGGTTAAACTCATTCACGCTGACCAGATATCCTAAATTAATCTAGTTCCATTTGCCAGCATTTGGCCCAGATCTCTCAAAACCCTTCCTTTCCATGTACCCATCCAGGTGCCTTTTAAATGTTGCAATTGTACCAGCCTTCACCACTTCCTCTGGCAGCTCTTCCCATACAGATACCACCCTCTACATGAAAATGTTGCCCTGTAGATTCCTTTCAAATCTTTCCCCTCTCACCTCAAACCTATGTCCTTTAGTTTTGGACTCCCCTATCCTGGGAAAAAGACCTTGGCTATTCACCCTATTCACACTCCTCATGCTTTTATAAACCTCTATAAGATCAGCCCTCAGCCTCCAACATTCCAGGGAAAACAGCCCCAACCTATTCAGCCTCTCCCTATAGCTCAAACCCTCCAATACTGGCAACATCCTTGTAAATCTTTTCTGAACCCTTTCAAATTTCACAACAGCCTTCCTCTGGCAGACAGACCAGAAACGAACACAGCATTCCAGAAGTGTCCTAACCAATGTCCTGTACAGCCACAACATGACTTCCCAACTCCTATATCTGATGCACTGATCAATAAAGGCAAATGTACCACTACCCTGTCTACCTGCAACTCCACTTTCAAGGCACTATGAATCTGTACCTCAAGGTCTCTTTATTTAGCAACAATCCCCAGGACCCTACCATTATGTGTATAAGTGCTGCCGTGATTTGCCTTTCCAAAATGCAACACTTCACGTTTATCTAAGTTAAACTCCATCTGCCACTCCTTGACCCATCTGATCAAGATCTCATTGTACTCTTAGATAAACTCCTTCACCATCCCCTACACGACCAATTTGGTGTCATCTGCAAACTTATTAACCATACCTCTTATATTCACATCTAGATCATTTATATGAATGACAAACAACAGTGGACCCAACACCAAGCCTTGTAGCACACTGCTGGTCAATGGCCTCCAGCCCAAAAAGCAACCCTCCATCACCATCCTCCATCTCCCACCAGGGAGAGGGCTGTTTCAGTGACAAGTGAAATAGTCTGTGGCAGAGGGCGCAAAGACAATGAATTCAGCCTTATGAACATAATTTCCCAATGGCCTTTAGAATTTTACACTGGAGGAAATTCTACTCCTCTACTAATGCATTTCAGAAAAGCAGTCTGACAATTTATAGACATTCAGGGGTCAAAACAAATGGTGGTGGTGGTGGTCCGGGAGAGCTGTGTGCAGTCATTATACTTTTGGATGTTGTCTGCAGTAGACCGTCTATAGATGAGAAATAAAGGGGAGTCAAAGAACACTTGAGGGACACCAAGATTAATGATGCAGAAGTGGGATGGGAAGCCACTGAAGGTTTTCTGGTGACAATTATATTAAAGACAGAACGAGGTGAGTGCAGTCCTACGTAGATGGACAACAACTTTTGAGGAGGATGGTGGGGTCAATCATAGCAAAGACTCCAGACACATAGGGAAGGACAAGGATGGATGCTTTACCTTTGTTAGATAGTTTATAATTTATACGTCTTATAAAGAGTTGTTTTGAAACTGCAGTAGGGGTGCTAACATAGTTAGATGTTTTTAAATATGGATTTAACTGCGCCATAATTAAAAAGAATTTTCAATTCAATCAACAGATATGGTGTCTTATAGTGTCTTCTTCTTTTAATGTGGTCATGGGATGAGGGCCTTGTAGGCTATCCCAGCATTTCTTGCCCAGCCTTATTTGCCCTGGAGAAGGTGAAGATGTTCTGCTTTTTTTGCAATGCTGTAGTCCTTGGGTATTTGGACATTCAGAACTGTGCAAAGAAGGAAGTTCCAAAATTTTGACCCAGTGACAGTAAAGGTACAGTGATATTTACATCAAGATGGTGAGTGGCTTGGAGAGCAATTTGCAGATCGTGAGGTTCCCATGCATCTGCTGATTTGTCCTAGGTGGCAGAATCATGGATTTTATAGATGCTGCTAAAGGAGCCTGGATGAGTTACTGCACTGCATCTTGTAGTTGGTACACACTGCTCCCACTACGCAGTGGTGAAGGAGCTGAAGGTGGTACATGGGTGCCAATCAAGCAGGTTGCTTTGTGGATGGTGACAAGCTCTTTGAGTGTTGCTGGAGCAGCACTCATCCAGATAATTGGAGAATATCCCATCACAGTTCTGACTTGAGCCTTGACAATAGTGTACAAATATCAAGGAGACTGGAGGCGAGACACTTGTTGCAAAATTCCCAGACTCTGACCTGCTCTTGTAGCTATGTTATTTATTATTACTCCCCATGTGCCGAGATGGGTGCAGCTCCAACAACACTTAAGGAGCTTGACAACATCCAGAACAAAATAGCTCACTTGACTGGTACCACATCCACGAGCACCCATACCCTCCATCACCGTCGCTCAATAACAGCAGTGTATACCATCCACAAGATGGACTGCAGATAATCATCAAGGCTCCTGAGACAACTTCCAAATCTATGATAATTTCCATCAAGAAGGACAAGAGTAGCAGATATATTGGAACACCACCCCCTGCAAGTTCCCCTCAAAGCCACTCACCATTCTCACTTGGAAATGTATCACCATCTGCTCAGTGTCGCTGGGTCAAAATCCTGGAACTCTCTCCTTAACAGCATTGAGTCTACCTACAGCACATGGACTGCAGGGTTCAAGAAGACAGCCCACCGAGGGATGGGCAATAAATTCTGACCCAGCCAGTGACACCTCATGATTGAATTTGAAGAAAAGGGCTTGTCGGTTCAGATTCTGGGTCAGTGGCAACCTCCAGGATGTGGATAGTTGTTGGATGTGGGGGGGGAAGGCGATTCAGTGATTATAATGTAATTAAGTGGCTTGGGATGATGGTTACACTGCTAAATGCTTAAAACATAGTACAGCACAGTGCAGGCCCTTCGGCCCACGATGTTGTGCCAACCTATTATCCTACTCTACGATCAAACTACCCTGCATACCCTACATTTTACTATCATCCATGTGCCTATCCAAGAGTCGCTTAAATGTCCCTAATGTATATACCGTCTGGCCCAGGGGACTTATCTATCCTCATGTTTTTCAAAATTTCTAGCACATCCTCCTTCGTAACATCAACCAGTTCGAGCATGTCAGCCTGTTTCACACTGTCCTCACGAACGTCAAGTTCCCTCTCACTGGTGAAAACTTAGGCAAAGTATTCATTAAGGACCACCCCACCTCCTCTGACGAGAATTGGATTCCAGCTTCAATTTATATAAAACTGGCGTGATACAACACGCTTGTGTGGCACATACGTTAGTTTTGCCAATTATTAGCCTAATTCTGAAAGCTGCCCAGGTCTTGTTGAAACTGACAGAATACCGAGGCCTGAATAGAGTGCATGTGGAGAACATGCTTCCATGAGTAAGAATGACAAGGATCTCAGGGCACAGCCTCAGAGTGGTTAATCTGTGGAACTCATTGCTGCAGAAAGCTGTGAAGGTCAATTCATTGAATGTATTTAAAACAGAGATAGTTAGGTTCTTCATTAGTAAGGGAATCAAGGATTATGGGGAGCAGGCAGGAGAATGGGGTTGAGAAACATATCAGCCATGATCAAATGGCAGAGCAGTTACAATGGGCTGAATGGCCTAATTCTGCTTTTACATCCTATGGTCTTACGGACACAGACTGCTTCAGTACTTCAATCATTGCACAATCGCTGTACAATCATCAGCGAATATCCCGTTTTCTGTCATTGCGATGGAGAATCAATGAAGTTTTTTATCCAGTATAATCACAATTATAAAGCAGGAAATGTAGGAAACAATTGCATGTGAAAATCACCAGTTTTTGTGATGTTACTGAAGGATGCATATTGCCCAGGACTCCAGGGAGACTTCCCTTGCTCCTCTTCAACATAGCACCAAGGGATCGTTGATATTCACCTTAAAAGAAGACCGTGCAGTACACCCTTGGTCCTGCACTGAAACGTCTGTCCTCAACTCTCCAAACGTCTACAACCCAACATCCTTAATGCTTTTCGGGGACTCTGTAGACTCTCAGTTCACCTACTGCTAACACAGACTTCTGTTATTGCTTTCAAATTACTCTTTACTCCAAGTATAGAAATCTGGGTCATGTTTAATCTCTAACTAACAAACTACCCTGGTTTGCTGTCCGTCAAGCTTAAGAACAGGTTACATGCTCCCTTCATTTGACATTAAATTGGAGATACTGTCTAAAAACATAACAATCTTATAAATTTCATTGTAACACGAGGGAAAACATAAGACTGAGAGCATACACAAATGGAAAAATACAGAAGATGCAAGACAAAGTAAAAGAAAGATGGCCAAAGAAACAGAAAGCCATCGGGTCCTGGAGGAAAGCACGTTCTTGCAAACAGAAATTTACAGGTTTCAAGAGCATCAACAGCAAGCATAGTATAGAATATACATGCACCAAATACGTTTGAGTTGTGGCATGAGTAAATAGAAAAGACTTTTCAAAGTTTTGAAACTCGAGGAAAGCATGGATGTTACTAGCTAAGCATTTCACAAGAAGTTATTTGCTATTTAGAAACAGACTCTCTAGATTGGAGCACGATACATTTTTAGGATATGCAAATTAACAAAAGTTAATTGCTGAAAAAAGACATTTTGTTTTTCATCTTGCACTCATCAGCACAATTTACAAGAAATACCAATATAGAGGGAAAGTAACACTTGTAAGGGAGGAAAGTGGTGATTGATTGCAGGTGGACTCTGATTGGTAGAGATAGTGTCATGGAAATGTACTAGTTAGATGATGATTGACAGTTAATACCAAGCTTTGTTTAAATTTTAAACCAGCAGGATGACTGATCAATCAAGGCATTGCCCTGACAAATTAACCAGAGAATGGCTTTCACCTATAAAGTTAAGGTAAGGTACAGCCACCATAGTCTTACTAGACCAGAGGGTCATTAAGCCTCAGGTGAAGGGAGATGTTCAGGAGAGCCCAACTGACAATCTGAAATTGCCAGTGTAATTCTTCAATCACACCATTATTCAGCAAATGCTTTCGAATCACATAATTATATCTAATGGGGGACACTTTTGACTTTTTCAGCACGAGCTAATTCAATCTAGTTGTTACAAACGAGTGAACGAGGAGCAGGGAGTAAGCCACTCAGACCTTCATGCCTACCTCACTATTCAATAAGATCATAGCTTTTATGATTTTAACCTCAACTCCACATTCCTGCTTACTCCAGATAATCTTCTACCCCATTGCTTTCAGGAATCTATCTTCCTGTGCCTTCAAAATAGTCAAAGATTCCATGTCCATTAATTTGGAAGAAGAGAATTAAAAAGACAACACTCAGAAAATTCTCCTTACCTTTGTTTTAGATTGCCGATCCCTTACTTTTAAATAAGGATCCCTAGTTCTAGATTCTTTCAGAAGTGGAAATGTCTGTTCTACATCCAACCTGTCAAATTCCCTCAGAATTTTCTATATTTCAGTCAGGAACACTTCTGCTTTGAAACTTCAAAGGACACAAGCCTCGCTTGTGCGACCTTTTCTCAAAGATAACCCAAGTATTACTCTTGTAAACCTTCTCTCAACTGCCTCCAATTTACATCCTAAATAGGGAAACCAATACATTACACAATTTACCCCATTTTGGTCTCACCAGTGTCCTGAATGACCAAAGCACAAGATCACAGTCTATAAAATGCAAGAGTAGAAGCAGACTATTCAGCTGAGTCTGCTCTGTCAAGCGTAACCTCTGTATTTTTGGCATTCAATTCTTCTTGCAATAACTCATCACATTCTATTTGCTTTCCAAATTAATTTCAGGTCTGCATTCTCTCACTACTTAGATTATATGTTTTATTTTTCATTCTTCCTCCAGAAAGTACAACTTTACAATTTCACACATTATACTCCATTTGCCAGATCTTTGCCCCTTTACTGAACCTATTTATCATCCTTATGGCTTCCTTGTCTCCTCTTCACAACTTACTTTCCCACCTAGATTTGTATCAGCAGCAAATGTGGCAACCATATCTCAGTGCCTTCACCCAAATCATTTATATAAATTACAAAGAGATGAGGCCCCAGCAATGGTCCCTGTGACACAGCTCTCCTTGCATCTTGTCAATCAGAAAATGAGGCAAGAGGTAGAAGGCTAAGGGGAGAGTTGAGGAGAAATGTTTTCTCTCAGATGGTGCTAGGAGTCTGGAATTCACTGCCTGAAAAGTTGCTAAGTCAGAAACTCTTATAACATTTGAGAACTAATTAGATATTCACTTGTATTGCCATAGCCCCCAGCATAATGGGCCGAATGTTAGAATACGGAAATAATGCAATGAGATCTTTGTTGACCTACTTGGGCACAATGCATTCAATGGTCACCTTCTGCACTGTAGACGTCAGAGTCTAAAAGGGAATTTTCAAAGCAAGGTGAATGGTAGCCATACAGCTGTTATTGGAGACTTTCTGGTACTTCTACATAGGAGTGGAAGACACAAAGATTTTTGCTGCTTTCTCTTTGCAGGCTAGAAGGTTTCTGCTACACTGACTCCACACAAGCCATGGTTACCTGGTCAGGAGCCAATCAAAATGTTGTTGTCCAGCAGTTGTCTCCTTGGTTCAGAACCTGTTAGCTCTATTCTATCTGCTTTTGCTCTCACTGTTCCAGGAAAAAGTTAACACTGTGTAAACTCATGATGTGCTCCAATAAACACGGTTTTAAAAACTGCAGCCATCTCTTTGCACAGTCTCCTTGGTTTAAGGCAGTACTTTTTTAGTCCAGTCTCATTATAAATTCTGCAAATTCATAAGTGGGTCTAAGGCCATCGCCTAAGGTTCTGAAAAACACCCAGTCTACTTCAGAGTAATACAAAATAAGACAAAGACCTGTAGATGACAGAGATCTAAAACAAAAACAAAGTGCTGGAGAAAATCAGCATGTCTCGTGGCCTCTGTGGAGAAAAAAAGTTAACATTTTGAGTTTAGTGACCTTCCATTAGAAGGCCTACTTCAGATTATTCTGGAAGTGCAAGACATTTTAAAAACTTAAGCAACAAGTGAACTGGCCATTTCCTGCTGATACTAGGCAGTACTGGCACAGGTAGTGATGGTCATTAACAGGATGCTACCATCAAGCCAAAAATATGTTCTATCACACAAATGAAGGCAATTAGTTTCATTGCCAATGGAATGCTAGGCTAGAGATCTAAAAGACTGGTGGATTCTATCAAATTGCATATCTGTAACAGGCAACGAACTCACTATGCCTAGCGTGCCTGTAAAACTTAAAACACTGCTCAATATTTGAAGTGATTCCATGATGAAACAACATTTGCTAAATAATTTTGTGTGTGCAAAAAATTATACAAAAATCTATTTAGGATTGCGATTCAGGCTCAGTGTGTGAATGAATATTACACGTGAATGAATATATTTAGCTTCTAGTACAAGCAGACAGAAAAAACATGTATACACATTGCACCGGTTCCAACTCCGCAAAACAGGTGATGACAATTCTGATTCATTTCTCAGGCTAACACCTTGACCAGAGTTAACCTGCATGGATTAAATTTAAACAAAGCTTGGCAGTTAATTGTCAGGCATCATTTAACTAATCTATTCTCTATGGCAATGCCTCTAACTAGAATCTATCTAGCAATCACTCAGCACTCTCCTCTCAGTGTATACATGTTTTTTTCCAGTAATACTGTACTTAAGTTCTTATATGACCCATTTGAAATCAAAGAAAACAAATTCTGTTAACCTCATACAGCTTCATACAAAGACAATGACACAGTGTGACGAAATATAAAAACTTTGAATACTGTAGCAAATAAGGATTCAACCTGCATGCAAATCAAAGTGAGGAAATAAACACACGCAATACAGTATGGTAAGTCCAATTTATTAATCCTTGCAATTACTCACATACATAACATCCCAAATCATCAGTAAAGTATGCATGTACTTTCAAAAAAAATTACTCATTCTATTTTTAAATCTTACCTCATTAAATGATGCTAGGTTGAGTTTTTTGGCGATAAATTTCTTCAGGTGTAGAACAGTAGCCTGCGCTGAACAGCGAATCCACTTTCTCTTCAACCCACGTAACTTACTGCTATTGCATTCCAAACAGATGCTTACCTTAAGGATAAAGCAGACACATAATACAGTATATGTTACATTAATAAACATTCGCTGCAATGTCAAAGGATATTCAATAGCACTGTTATTAAGGCAACAACAATGTAGAGATTAGAACCAACTCCCAAAACTGAACATAATTTATCTGTAGGAAATGTCAAAGGTATCACTTTAGAAAGGAGGAGACACACCAAGTAATCACAGGCCAGTCATCCAGATTAAGTGAAATCAACAGGATACTATGTTATTTTGCCAAATCAGTTTAGGTCAAATTCCCAAACATAAAGAAGATGTCTAATGCTGAGAGAATATTTTACTTGCACCCTACCAGCCCAAGCCTAAATGATGTCCACAACTTGCTATTACGGTAATAGACTGCTCCACTAACTGAGGAATTGGAAATATAACTGATATTTGTCAAAACATCAACAAACATCCGCTTCTCTGACTTCATGCTGGAGGACAACACATTTGGAGCAATCGAAGATGGCTGTGCCAAGGACATGCACTGGGGAACACGTAGATTGACGACCAAATAAACACAACCAAATTTTGTTTTTGTGAGGTATAATTCCAACCAGTGGAGCATTTTCCTTCAACTTCTAATAACTTGAATTTCACTTGGACTCCCTGACACCACATTCAGTCAAATGCTACTTTGATGACAAGGGCACTCACCGTTACCTCGTTTCCAGAATTCAGCTCTTTTGTCGGTCTAGACTAAGGTTGTAAAAAGGGAGTACTGCAATGAGCCAAGCGGTTCTGGCAAGGGTTCTATGAGCAGGTTTTTGGTAAGTGCTTGATAGCGCCATTGGCAATATTCTTGACTTGCGCACTCACACTAACAGCAGTGCTGAAATAGAATGATTACAGCCCAGGAGGAAGCCATTCAGTCCTTTCTGTCTTCACTGGTTCTGCAAGCACAGAACCTAGTCCCACAACGCCTGACCTTTCCCTGTCATCCTGGATGTTTTTACCCTTCACTAAAGTTATCTAATTTCTTTTTTAAGGTCACGATTAAATCAACCTCCATCACTTTCAGACAATGTATTTTGAATCCCAACTACTTGCTATGCAAAGCCATTTCATGTCACTTCTTTTTGGTCATTCGCCTTAAAACTCTGCCTCTTGTTCTGAAAACAATCCTATCCAGACACTCATGATTCTTTGTCAAATCTCCTCTCACTCTTCACTTCTCTAAGCAGAGCACTCCCAAGCTTCTCCAAGCAATCCACAAAATGCAAGTCTCATCGCTAGAACTACTGTCACAAATCTCTTTTGCAGCCTCTCTAAAGTTTTCACTTATTTCCTGAAACATGGTGCCCTGAATTCAACAATACTCCAGTTGAGGCAAAACCAGTGTTTTATTAAAGGTCCAACATAATTTTCTTGCTTTGGTACACTGCACTTCTAAATCCCCATTAACCTTAGTAAAAGGTTTCTCAACCTAACCTTTGTCAGTTCATGATTAGTGCATATACAGGTACTTCTGCTATAATATGTAAATCATTAACATTAATTGGCTGTAACGTGATTGATGAATAGTGGATGCTGTTCTATCTGCTTACATTGGAGTCTTCAGAAGGCAAGCAAGATACAATCCCATTTGTCTGTGATGTTACAGATCGTGGAGCCTGCTTAAGAAAAATGGCCAGTTACATCTAATTTACTTCTTTTTTCCCCTTTTGATTTATTATCTGTGTCTGTCTTCGTGAGAGTGGAGGGATAGAATTAAAGAAGATTTGGTTTAAATCATAGATATCAATTGGATTACCTTGTGCCTTAATTTTGGCTCTACTAAAGCTATGGTATTCACAATAAATAGTTAAATCTTTAGTTTAAGTTATTAATCTGGTATCGGATAATCATAAAGTCTAGTTAGGAGCCAAGGTGTTAATTTTGAGAGTTTTTGAAGGTTTTAATTTTTCTGTGCTGAGAGTACAGAGATAGGGAGGCTGATTTGATTTGATTTGATTTGATTGTCGTAACAAAATATTCATGGTCAAGGTTAGCATTCAGTTATCTTACGCCAGTTGAAGCATGATAATGTGCAGAGTAAAGCTTCCCATATTCTTTCCAGCAACAAGAATAAGCTCATCTTGGACCACTAACATCTCTCCCCTTCTAAATATCAAACATTCCTAGCCTCGTTATCACAAAACTAGTAAAATTGCACTGGTGCAGTCCCACGCTCACTTAATTTATCTGAACAACAAATACTTCCATGGAATTTACCCAAACTCCACATCAGAACCTATGCCTGATGCTTTCCAGTTATGAAGGGAAATACTTTTCAATTAAGTTGCACCAATTTTTTGTGAAATTAGAATATGCCAAAAGGCATTGTTGTTTGGATGGGGTTGTCTTTCGACTAAAAATTGAAAGCAAGGAAGGAGTGATATGACCTGTTGGAATAGGAAACCAATCCTCTTTTTTATTGATTGATTGATTTATTGTCATGTGTACCGAAGTACAGAGAAAAGCTTTGTTTACTAGCAGTACAGGCAGATCACTGTAAGCAAGGATTTACAGACCAAAAAGACTTAGACACATACAGGTTACATCGCACAGGGCGTGCGCTAGGTGAGATCAATGCTAGCAAGATCAGCATCATTTGAGGTTAGAGAGTCCATTCATCAATCTAACAATGGCTGTAAAGAAACTGTTCCTAAACCTGCTCATGCCTGTTCAGGCTTCTGTATCTTTTGCCTGACAGAAAAGGTTGTAGGAGGTCATTACCGGGCTGCAATGGGTCTTTGATGATGTTGACAGCCTTTCCGAATCAATGAGCCGTGGAAATGGAGTCCATGGATGGAAGGTTGGCTTCCGTAACATTCTGGGCTGTGCACACCACCTTCTGTAGTTTCTTACAGACCTGAGCATGACAGTTGCCACATGAGGCCATTATGCACCCCGACAGTATGCTTTCGGTGGTGCATCTGTAGAAGTTGGTGAGGGACCTTATGGACATAGCAAATTTCCTGCGCAGCCTGAGGAATAATAGGCATTGTGCCTTCTTGACTGTTGCATCTACGTGGGAAGTCCAGGACAACTCCGGTTATCATCACTCCGAGGGACTTGATGCTCTCCACCCTCTCAACCTCAGTTCCATTGATGTAGATGGGGGTGTATTCTCCTCCTTTCTTTCCGAGCTCAATGATCAGTTCTTTAGTTTTGCTGACATCAAGAGAGAGGTTGTTCTCATTGCACCACGACACCAAGCCCTCTACCTCCCTTCTGTATTTTGACCCGTTGTTGTTAGATATCTGTCCCACTTTGGTGGTGTCGTCAGCAAACTTGTAGATGTCGTTTGGAATTTGGCAACACCGTTGTGGGTGTACAGGGAGTACAGATGGGGGCTGAGCGCACATCCTGGGGGACTCCAGTCTGGAGTGTTATTGTGGAGGTGGCACAGTTACCTACCCTCACTGATTGCGATCTGTGGGGCAGAAAGCTGAGGATCTAGTTGCAGAGGGCAGAGCTGAAATCAAGGTCACGGAGTTTTGAGATCAGTCTGGAGGGGGTAATGGTGTTGAAGGCAAAGCTGCAGTCAATGAGCAGGAGTCTGATGTAGGTGTCTTTGTTGTCCAGATGTTCCAGGGATGAGTGCAGGGCTAGGGATATGGCATCCACTATGGATCTGTTATGTCGGTTGGCAAATTGTAGGAGATCGAGGCAGGTTGGGAGACTGCAGGTGATGTGAGCCATGACCAGCCTCTCGCAGCATTTCATGATAATTGAGGTTAGAGCCACTGGGCGGTAGTCATTAAGGCACAATAACTTGTGTTTTCTGAGGTACAGGAATGATGGTGGTCTTTTTGAAGCAGGTGGGGACTTTGGCTCGTAGGAAGGAGAGGATTAAGATGTTGGTGAATAACTCCACCAGTTGGTCTACACGGGATCTGGGTGCTCGGCTGGGGACATATCCAGGCCTGTCGCTTTCATTGGGCTGACTCCCACGGACACTGATCGGATGTCTGCAGCAGTGAAGGAGGGAAATTGTGTGCTAGGGGCTGTCGGGGCAGGCATCATCACACCACTGGCATTTTGCTCAAACCCAGCATAGAAAGCTTTGAGTGCGTCAGGGAGGGATATTTTTAGATCAGTTGATTTCAAATTTGAATAAACTCAATATATATTTGTAAGTAATGTAAGATAGTCGAGTGAAAATAGTGACGGTTTCATAAAAAACTTAAGGTAAAATCCAAATTTTTTTCTAAAGCATATAATTACATATTGTGAATGAAGAGCTCATGGATAAATGTGTATATTTGTACATGTTACTTATTTTCTAAATACACATTCCATTTAGTTGTCAATTTAGAGGCAATTAGGACTTTTTTTCAAAATTTAATCATCAGGTTGATACAATTTGCAAAAGTAACAAATCTTGTACTTGAAGTCTTGAGATGATAAAACATTTTAACTTTTCCATAAGCCAGATTTTCAGTAAACATCTCGAATAATACCATTGTTGAGAAACAGTAATGTCCACTTATTCCTGAATATATGCCAGTGCAGAATACTGAAATTGATACACCCACAACGTAGTTATGGCGAAAAACACCTACAGTTTTGAAAACTTACATAATTGAAATGCATTGTTCCAGTTTGAAAAATTGTCTCCAGAGAATTAAATAAAATGTAGGAGGAATATTCAGTAGCAGAATCGCAGGAATAGAAGCTTGAGCACAGTTACACCCCGAGACCGTGATCAAACAGCAGAATGGGCACTAAGACAGGGATCTTCCTTTAATGGTAATGGAAAATGGCGAGTAGTTTTATCAGGCAGCTCCAAAGTTAGCAACATGTCAATCATGGCAGGAAAAAGCAGCTGAGTGCAATATATATGGAGATGAGGGGGAGTTATGATAAGACCCTAACTGCACTACCAATGATATGTGCACCATAACTAGTAATCAGAGAGCCAGGCCATTCTGGGTCTGTTGTGGCACTGTTAATGAAGGGAATATCACTTTCCAGACAAATTTAACAATACC